TGTGTCAACATCAGCTGGTGTTACACCTTAGGGAACCCTAGGGTTGGTTGTTAGTGTCAGTGAACAGTAAGCACCACTGCAGCCTCTAACTGGACCCAAGTGACACTTACAGATACGTTTTTAGATGCCGTTTATTGTGCAGCAGCTGAGCAGATAATTAGCTAGCTTGCTGCAAACGGACATTAGCAGTGCACTGTCCCCCCGGTAAATGTTTGTTTGGTGTCAACAAGCTAAGGTGCGGGACAACACTTGTGCTCATGTTTGTAAGTTAGACACAAAGGGGACTTTAGCAGGAAGCTAATGTGGTTGTTGTTAAGTCTGAGACTCGCGTGTTATGTAGCTGGCTCAGTGTGACCATCTGCTCTGCCTATGATAAAACACTATGGTACTGCCTTATGTAAGATTTGATTGGCCGCATCGAAAAAAGGTCTCCATCTGTGTAGACAGATACCGGAACTGTATTGTGTCACATTAATGCACAACCATGTGACACCGTTATGAAACAAAAAATATACATTTCTCTCCTGTTCTTTGCGATTCTTGCTGAAACAGAACGCAGAGCATGTTATTAGCATTGCAGATAGCCGAAACAAACTAAGAATCTTAAGGAAGCCACTTTGTTTGTTAAAACATTGAATCCACAGTAATCCAGTAGTAGATCGGTTAAAGGCAGAAAGCCATCATCCCTTCAATGCTGCACTTGTCTTTCTTTAACCTACCTTGATGTTAGTGTGACACTGGCTATTGTAGTTCTTCATGAATAACAGAGGGAGTGGGTGAATCATCAAATCAAGTGGGTTTCCATCACTATAATTTGACCTTTGAAACGTTTGCGAATATGCAGTTTACAGTTTTTCTCCTAAAAGATACAGTTGCAGTATGTTGTTAATATCACCTGCAGGTCGCCAGATTTCCTCCCAAAGCTTCAACATTTGAGCAGGGTTTGCATATGCAGTCCCATCTCAGTACCAGTGAGGGACTGGCTATAGTAGTTGGCCCCCATCCAGTTGTTAAACTGCCCCCGCGGTTCTCCACCAAATTATTTGGCTCTCCTTGTGATGCCATTGAACTGTTTTTCTACAACGCACAACAGTTCTCGTAGGACCTGGACAGCAATTATTAACCAAATGTGTTAATCTCCTCCCAAGCTATCATCATCCGCCCTCAGTGGCTTATTTACATGCTGAGTATTTGCTCTTGATGAGTCAGGAATTCTTGAAAGTGAACATCAGTTTATTCCTTAGAGAATAAACTATTTTTGTGTGGTAAAAGCTCCAGACTGTTCTCTGTGGCATCCACATTTAAACTAAAAGCATGGAAAGGGAAGTATTACAGTGTATTTGATTTCCAATCCTAGCCCATTTCCAGCTGTGCAGCTGGTGCACTGCACCACATGGCTCCAACCCCAAAAATACCAAAGAGTCCATCAAACCACCCCATGTGGACAGTGTTTAAAGCCAGCTCAAATTGATTTAGTAAAGTGGGCCTTTCAGATATTGATGTTGATATCCAGAACATTCATTTAATTCAAGCCTGTTGTTTTCTATCATAGGATCCCTTTGCACTGTGAAAATACTTCACACAACAAAAAGATGGCCACTTCCATATCATAATGAGAGCTCGGTGGCCACGATGAATCATATTTGTCTACTAAACATTTTGTCAATTGGGGCTGTTTGTAAAACCAGACTGCTTTTTTATTTATCCTTATATTTTGGTGTAAGGTGTGATAATGTTCAGATGCAAAAATCACAAGGTGGACATTCGGGCATGAGATAAATAACATTTCCTGGCAGTAAAAGATAGAGAAAACTAAGTATACAGATAGAAACAGGCTTATAGAATATGGCATTGAGAAATGACTCTCATCATGGGGCCATATGAATATGAATGTACTCACTGCAGGACGTTTCCGGGATCCAGACAGCAGTGACGCCTCAGGTGATGGAAATGACTAAGCCACTGGGTCAACTGCACGACTGATTTTCATTTTAGGGAGGCAACAAAATGCACGCCTTAACTATAGCGATATGGTTCCATAATGTACGGAATGTAAATCAGAGTTAGGGGTTCAACAATGAATGTACAGCTATGGATATTCCACCAGACAACATTTTTTTTAATGCCAAATGTATTTTGTACCTGCTATCTGAAAATGTATTGTTTTGTGGCGTAACCTTAAACACATGTTGCACAGCCTGAACCATAGAATAGAATATAACCGATTTCCTAAACATAGCAGGATGGCCATATTAATTTGTGTGGTAACCATTACGTAGAAATATAACCATTGTCACAGGCTACCTTCAGTAAAAACAGCTTGCGGCAAGTTGTGGACTTTAAAAAAAAAAAATGGTATTGTTATGTTTATTTAAAGCACAGTTTACATATGAGCTTCAACAAAAGAAAGACAAATGCAAAATGCTGGCTTAGTGCGGACGGTAATCCAAAAATGTATTTTAGATTTGTTTCTCAATAATGAATATTAAACACTTTGTGCCCTACTGACGTGGGGTGTCATCAGCCAATCTCTTTTGTTCTGAACTATACGACCACAACAAGCAGTTCAATGTCCGCTATACTCTCATTTTATTTCAATGGTCATAACATATTTAATACAACACATACTCTATATAGCCTGGGTCTATAAAAGGACAGTATTTGATTTTGTCACTATTTAAAACAGTTTTTTTAATAACTATTGTGGACTTATATTAACGATCAAAATGGTGCATTTCCTTTTTTATATCTGCTTGGTGTTCCACACTTACGGCCCGTCCACACAGCGGCGTGCGTTGAAGCTTGCCGGCGGTCGTGTCTGAAACTCGACCAACAACCAATCACATGAATCTCCCGCCCCTGACACACAAGCAGCGGTTTGATTGGCTTGAGCTTGTACTGGCATATGATCCGATTGGCTGACGCTTCTGCCGAGGCTTCAAAAGTTGAACATTGCTCAACTTTTGCAGCGAGCGACGCCAGCAAAGCTCCGCTTCGCTTCCCACAATGCAGTTCGGCGAAAAGTGACTTCACCCCATTCAAAGTGAATGGTGAAGCTTTCAACGCACGCCGCTGTGTGGACGGGCCGTTAATGACCACAGTAAAGACTCAAGATGCATAATTTATGATGACTTTAAATACAATTGTATTTACTATAACATCCTAAAGGGCTAGGCTTTCTTCCAAGGCTTTTCTTTTGGTTATCTAAAATGATAAATTAACTGAAAATTAAATTAACTCATAAACACATTTTTTTATTTTTCTGACACATTTGTCATTGAAAAAGCGGTTTAACTGAATCCTTCTTAAATTGGCCTGTTGAGTACACTTTGTTATTTTGTGTTTGCTGCTGAGTACCTTGTTAAAAGGGTGAAAGAAAAAGTTTGTTTTTCTTTGCTGAAAATCCTAAATTGATAGTTGAGATTTCAATACAATCTGTTTCTAAGAAGTGATTTCACATCCAATTATTAATACAATTACTGTAGAGATATTTAAATTATCTATGTTTGTTCCTGGTAATGAGGAAAAAGGAAGCGGTGCTTAAATATAAAACACAGAGATAATTCAAGGCGTCATAAAAAAACGACAAACTAATTTCAACAGTGATAGTAACAGACAAAAGTAATTCCCTTTAAGTATGCCACTGTGATTTCTTTGTATCTTTTGCAATCAAGTAGTTCATCATCTATTTAACAGGGAAAGATTAGGCCCATTACATTTTCCCTGCTCTTTTATGATGTGTTATTGTCTAATAAACCATGAAAGGGGGGAGGTTTTTTTGCATACAGTAGCATTTCATGGCACACTGTTGGGTGCTCCACGGCCAGGGGCCAAAGTTCTTAAACGCAATTACTGATGAAAATCGTTTCCTTATCAGTATGAGACTAAGACATAATTTCACTGCCAAGTGGATAATAATATTCACAGTCAATGCAAAATGAGGAAATGGATAATTTCAATGTTCTGGTAAAATGGTAAAATAATCTTTGATGATTTCTTTCTTTCTTTAGGCAGGATGTGATGCTGGTAATGTTGTACCTTTTTTGCAATGTGTTTACTTTGACATTATTTAAAAGGAAAATACATTGGAGATTGTGCTGTATTGTTTAATACATCACAATATTAGTTTTACAGATGTATTTTAAGTTGGCATGAGTTACATTTACTGTACATTTTCCCATCCAGGCTGTGGTGTGTATTGTCCGCTTCCTCTGTGATAGTTTGAATAAAGAAACAGTAAATTGGGCTTTGTTTAAATCTGGTTTTAGACAAACTCTTCCTGCTTCTTTGCTGATATGTGTTAGCAATTGAAAAGTCTCTTAAATATTTATAGACTAAGGTCATATTTAGTATTAAAGTGCCATTTTATAGAGCTAAGGGCAATAATACAATTGTAATACCCATCCCTAGCCGCTTTAGTGAAACAAAATGGAGTTTTTATTTTGTATTTGATGAAAAAGCCAATCTTTTGGATCAACATTAGTTTTAACAATTCATGAAGTAGCGAGTCGATAGTTGAAAGTTTCCTCCAGTGGTAATTGACACCGCTGGGAGATGGTGTTCTTCCACATTAGTGGCTGGGTGTCATAACATATCGTAAAGCAGACTTCTAACCTTGTCAGAACTTATCATGACACCAATTAGATGTTGAAAAAAAAAAAGAGACAGCCACACAGCTGAGGATGTACTTCACGCTCATCTGCAAAAGGGTAGCAGTTTTTGTATGAAGAGGCGCAATCTGTGTGGCTTTCCAAAAAACTCTAGGGACGCATGAAGGGTGAACAATCTCAGAAAGAGCAGAAAATAAATACACATCATGTCACGATAAAGTGGCAATGACAAGGGCACTATCTTATTTGCTCGGTACAACCCAATTAACCTCACTCTATGACATCCTCTTGTAACGCTAAAATAGACTTTGTCATGTAACAGCTCTCTTTTTTTGTCTCCCTCCCTCCTTCCCTCCCACCCTCCTTCCCTCTTCTTTTCTCTCCCATCAGGTCTCCACATAATGGAGCGAGAATGAACAGAGAGCGGCTTAAAAAAAAGCATGAACTGGAGGTTTATTGAGGTCATCTGCTTCCTGTTTATATGGGACCATATAACAGTTCAGTCTTCCCGCCAGGACCCGTTGGCCACTGAGCAACATGTCACCAAGCAATATGACTGGCTCATCTCTGACCGTGGACCTTTCCACCACTCTCGGAGTTATCTGTCCTTTGTGGAAAGATTCCGCCAAGGATTTACGACCAGATATAAAATTTATAGGTGAGTCCACTTTCAGCCGGTGTACTGTTGCCACGCATGCTTTTTAAGAATCTGTCTGTTTTAATGGCTTTTTCTATTTTGAGTTTTTAGCTGCAAAAAGCTGCACTGTGTACATTTTTATCCTATTAAGTGTGCATCTTTTATACTGACTTGCAAGAACTCTCAGCACTGTGAACTCCTTTTTCTTAAATTAATAAGGCACTCTGCTAGGACCTTCACTCCACTCCAAAAATCCAAACATTCTGGACCCAAAACTTTACATAATCCCATTTAAAGTCTTCCCCATGTATTTCAAAATACATACGTCCATATTTTAGGTGCAGGCTTTTGTTATACGTTTATAGTCTTCAAACCCAAGCCATTACATTTTTATTGATATTTCCCAGTTTAACTGATCACATTAGTAGCCAAACAATAAGTTTCACACTGGTTTTAACTGGCTATTGATGAAGTAAATAGTTTGGACACATTGTCCATCCATCCATCCATCTTCTCCCGCTTATCCGTGGTCGGCTCGCGGAGGTAGCAGTTCCAGCAGAGAGCCCCAAACTTTCCTTTCCCTGGCCACATCCACCAGCTCTGACTGGGGGATCCCAAGGCGCTCCCAGGCCAGCGAAGAGATATAATCCCTCCACCTGGTCCTAGGTCTACCCCTTGGTCTCTTCACAGCTGGACGTGCCTGGAACACCTCCCTAGGGAGGCGCCCAGGTGGCATCCTTACTAGGTGCCCGAACCACCTCAACTGGCTCCTTTCGACGCGAAGGAGGAGCGGTTCAACTCCGAGTCCCTCCCGGATGACTGAACTTCTCACCTTATCCCTAAGGGAGACGCCAGCCACCCTGCGGAGAAAACCCATCTCGGCCGCTTGTATCCGCGATCTCGTTCTTTCGGTCATGACCATAGGTGAGGGTAGGAACGAAAATGGCCTGGTAGACGGAGAGCTTTGCCTTCTGGCTTAGCTCTCTTTTCGTCACAACGGTGCAGTAAAGCGACTGCAGTACCGCTCCCGCTGCTCCGATTCTCCGGCCCATCTCACGCTCCATTTTTCCCTCACTCGAGAACAAGACCCCGAGATACTTGAACTCCTTCACTTGGGGTAAGGACTCATTCCCTACTTGGAGTGGACAGTCCATCGGTTTCCTGCTGAGAACCATGGCCTCAGATTTGGAGGTGCTGATCCTCATCCCAGCCGCTTCACACTCGGTTGCGAACCGATCCAGTGAGTGCTGAAGGTCGCAGACCGATGAAGCCATTAGAACCACAGCATCTGCAAAAAGCAGTGGTGCAATCCTTAGTCCACCGAACTGCAGACCCCCTCCTCCACGACTACGCCTCGAGATCCTATCCATGTTTATTACAAACAGGATTGGTGACAAAGCGCAGCCCTGGCGGAGGCCAACCCTCCCCGGAAATGGGTCCGACTTACTGCCGAGGACCCGGACACAGCTCTCGCTTTGGGAGTACAGAGATTAGATGGCCCTGAGTAGAGACCCCCTCACCCCATACTCCTGCAGCACCTCCCACAGTAACTCCCTGGGAACCCGGTCATACGCCTTCTCCAAGTCTACAAAACACATGTCGACCGGATAAGCGTACTCCCAGGCCCCCTCCAGGATCCTTGCAAGAGTAAAAAGCTGATCCGTCGTTCCACGACCAGGACGGATTCCGCATTGTTCCTCCTCAATCTGAGGTTCGACAATCGGCCTGACACATTGTATGAGACATTAAAGGTAGGGTAGGTAAGTTTGAGAAACCGGCTCGAGATACACTTTTTGTTATATTCCATGGAATGCTCTTAACATCCCGATAGCAATGAATATCTTAAGTGCTTTGACAAAAAATCCATAAAAAAATGTCATCTGTGGAAGCCGCAATACTGTAAAAAGTATGACCAATCATTTTAGCCGGCCCGGCTAAAATAACTGGATGGCCTACCTGCCTGTCAGCCTTCCATCTGTGCACAAACTTATCTCGTGCCCTCATTGGTCATGTGCGCGCTCGTGTGTGTTGGAGGAGGGGCTCTATAAGGAAGTGGCAGATTTTCTCCGGTTGTGTATTTTCAAATTCTAGCGCACTCGAGCCGGTTTCTCAAACTTACCTACCCTACCTTTAAGTAATTCACTACAAAAAACACCCCCCAAGTTTTAGGGCCAAAAATGTTTTAAGTCACTTTGGCTACAAGGGATACATCCGTTTTAAGGAGTCTGATTGCGAATTTTGCACATATCAAAATACATTTTGATGTGTTACGTTTTAATGATCACCCTAACCCTAAACTTTACGCAGACAATTATAAATGCTTCTGCTTTTAAACCACTGATCCCTCATTTGTATCAGTGTTCCACTGTAACAATGTATTCTTGCACATTTTACATTTAATATATGCATTATAATGTCCACATTCTACCTGATTTGTTTCTTTTCAGCTAACTTCTCCTCATTTGTTACATACAGAGTACAAGGTAGAGAAATAAGATGGTTAGAAACCCTCTTTCTCAGAATGATGTGCTTTGATTTCCTTAGATCCCAAGTCCCTAGTCAGTATCGAAGAGACTGTGAAAGAGTAAGAGAGTCATTTGCTTCATTTGAGTTTGTTTTCTGTCTCTCTGCTCCCTCTCTCTTGGTAACTTGCCACAGCCCCCGGTCCCCACTGGCTTTCGTGCCTTGATATTGTCACATGAACAGTAAACAATGCATTTGCATAATATGTAACTTGACAGAGCGGGATGTTGCACAGAGATATGAATCTCAGAGGCAAAACTTCTGAGGCCTCGTTCCAAAGACTCTGCACAGCCGTCGAGTGCTGTCTGTGAAGCTGCAGTGATTTATTAAAACAGAGAGTGTGTGTTTGCATGATGGGGGCTGCTGGGAATGTTGCCGGGCCCAGGTGGCTCCTGTTGTTTCTCCCTCTTAACAAACCATTAGTGGCATCAAACTCAGCCATCAGTGCTAGGAATGATTTTCCTCGTGACAAGACAATTAATTCTCACATTAAGAGTGTGAAGAATTGGATGTGTTTCCCGTTAAAAATGAGAGGGCAACAATTAACATTTCACATTCACATCTGTCAGGCATCTGCAACACCGGCAGTGTGATAGATTCCTTTTACAGCTACAGTATGTTTTAAGTGATATCCCTAAAAAAAGTGCCATTAAACATATCCATTACTAACATGAACACTATGCAATAGAGTATAGTGTACCATACTTTTTTTCTAGTGAAAGGTTATATACCTGTAGTATTTAGTAAATAATCATAAACAGTATTTGATCCAAGGCTTTGAAACATTCTCCCAAAGGAACAAGCGTTTCCGTAGGTTTTTCATCCCCACCTGGACCAGCAGTTATTTTCAATGATTAGTACATCTTCAACCATAGCGGGGGGGGGAATACGTGACATCAGCTGGTGTAGTGTTTGGTTGGAATAAAATCATACGTACCCTCGGCACATGATTGCCCAGCCGTGCTCTACTCTAACCAGCAGTGAGAACTGAATCGCTCTGTAAATTTCCCCCGGGACTTTTTCTGCCTCGACGATTTAGTGCTGGAAAGCGGTTGGATCAGATTTGCAAAGAGACAAAGCATCCATACTTTCAGGGTTCTCTTATCGAGGGAGATTACCCTGGAGGCGCGCTGCGTGGACAATGCCAACCTGATCAGCAACAAACAAATCTGCCCCATCTTTAATGACATGACCTAATTTATAGGATAAACACAGATTTAGGAAGTGCCAGCCTCCTGTCGAGTGCCCCGGAAAGGTCACAGTCACTTGAAGGGGAACGACGCAGCGCAAGTCACCAATTATTCCCTCCCTCTAGACGTATGTCTCCTAAAGAAATGATTGGAATGCGTTTTGTATAAGTAATCGTCAACACTGTGTCACTGCTGATTGCGATCTTCAAAATGTAATTCCTTCCCTTTTTTTCTTCCCTGTTATCGTACGCCTAACTGTACATTTCCTATATGATATTTATCAGTCACAAGAAAAAGCCACTTTCACTGCTCGCTGCATACTGCTCCTGTATCCGACCTGCAGCTGAATAATGTGTATCAATGTGTGCTTCAGTTAGTGGTGAAACTCGATGGCCTGTTTTGCTCACACTAGCATCTCTCATTCTGTTGCTTGTACTCTATTATGGGGTCGAATGTGTTTCAGATAATGCGTGTTCTCTCTTTGGTCTTTGTTCACAGAGCTCTATCTCAGGTTCTTGTGTGCCTGACTGAAAAACCAATATAAATGCAAATCTGTTAGCCATTAATGCATTTTAAAGCCCTCAAATCAGCATTGCACTGTAATCAAAGGACCAAGATGAGGGCTGTTATTTAGAATACAAATATTTATGAAAATGAATAGTTCTGATGGATCACACTTTGAAAAGACATGCAGTGAAAGAAGTGAATGAATAGACAGGGTTGATAGAGCCACTCTTGTCAATGGACCAAGGCTTACAGTATGAGGACCTCAAATAAATCTATCCAACGTTTTGAACCAAAGGATGTGATGTCCTGTGACAGTATAATGTTTGGAAATGAAACGAAAACTCAGTCAATGTAAACCTTCAGAACCTCTTTATGTTATCCTTATTCTCCAGCGATGTTGAAGAGTTGTTTAGATCTTTTCCGGTCGCGTTGCTGTGTATGAAAGCGCTGATGTAAAACGAAACATCAAATTGTGAATAATAGGTCAAAGTAGCCGATACCAATCAGTTAAAAACCTAAATAAAGTAAGGAAACGTAATGTACTCACAATACAGCTCCCTTAAGTGCAATTTATAAACATTTAAATTATTAGCGAAATAGAAACATGTTATTTGTGATGCTGGATCAAAAGTAGACAGAAATAAAAACATTAAAACAGTTTGCACACTGAAAATCCCTTAATTTCCTTTATTATCACATTCACACAATGTTTTGTCTTCTTTTGACTCCTCTTCAACAAGCTTGCAAGGCAATGACAGAATCAGTCAAAATACGCACTTATGTATAATGATATTAAGTGTC